TCCATTCATTTTTCCCATAGAGAAAAACTGCTTAGACCTTGAGGTCCTAATATGGGCATGACACCAACTACAGAATGATACACAATTTCAAAGCGCTATATAAATAAACTTTGACTTGGCAGTGTTACTGTTGGAGCAGGAACACTGTCAGGTCAAGTCAAAGTTTATTTATATAGTGCTTTTTACAGCAGGCGTGGTCACAAAGCAGCTTTACAGAGAAATCCAGCTCTAACCCCCCATGAGCGAAATTGGCAATGAAAAACTCTGTGACTGATACTGGCTCAAATATTTACAGGTGTGATATTGTTTTGCTCTAGATTAACCTGTGTAGTCCTTAATATGTCTAATTATATACTTATTATTATGTTGCTGTTGTCGGAACAAAACCTCGTATCTCCAAAATGGTAACTTTACAGGAGAAGGAAAAAACATACTTTACTTTTAATGTAAGTCAGTGGAACCAGACGTTTTTCCAAGTAATTCTGGGTCATTTCTTTTGGTCCATTCTTCATAAAATTTACACACAGTGTAAAGAGCAACAGGTATTTTCAAATTATGCCAAAAACCAAAAAACGACAAAAATGGAGACATGATGTTTTCTTCGGACAGCAGCGATATGCTTAAATAATATATCTATTATACCTTACTAAGTTATTGTTAATGTGCAATGAAATATGTTTATTTGTATTACCATTTTGAACAGCTAGGTGTCCCCAAACTCTTCACTAGCAAACTCTTCATACTCAATCTCTTCATATTCGTTCTCTACATTGTGAATATTGTTCATCATATCCCTTCAATTTATGTCATCAGTGACTAAATGTGGACATATGATTTAGTAGGAAAAGCAACACATCATGACTTCTCTGTTCTCTAGTTTATTTCTGGCGTGATGGCAGCTTTGAGTGCCATGGTGTCCCTAGAAATCCCTCAGGTCAACATCATGACCAAAATGGACCTGCTCAGTCCGAAGGCCAAGAAAGAAATCGAGAAGTAAGTGCTTGAGTGAAGTTCCACAGAACATCTGTCTCTATTTCAATTTATTTGTGTACTGTTGAGTCAATGCTGATACTCAGACAAACAAACAGAGGTGATTATCTGTATTTTATGCAGGTATCTGGACCCAGACATGTATTCGATGATGGAGGACAGCTCTGTGTCACTGAGAAGCAAAAAATTCAAGAAACTCACCAAAGCTATCTGTGGTTTGGTAGGTTTACAATGATGAGGCGTTAAGGCTGGTTCTCTGGCCGTGGATTAAGCCTGGACTTGGACTTGAAGTGCCAATTAAAGACTTTTAAAACCAGTGAAATTGGCTGAAAACATCATTTATAGTTATTTAAAGAGCCCAAATCACAGAAAACTGAATTTTCCTCACTTTTTATAAATAAAAGAGTAATGTAGTATGTAAACATTTGTAAAAAGGTTCAAAGTGTACCATCACAACACACTCACACACACACTCACACACACACACACACACACACACACCTCCACAGTCTGTATGGTCCATATGTGGAAACTAAGCTGCAAACCTGTTTTCAATCCACTGCTGTTGTGATGTCACAGAAACCAACACCTTAATAAATATGTACCTGTTCTGTCTACAGCAGTTAAGCCCCACCCATTAATGCTGAAGTTGAGTGTTTCAGCCCAATACAGGACAGCCAATCAGAAGAGCTCATTTACATAAATCAGTCACAAAACGTAGCCCATTGAATTCTCAGGGATAAAGAGAGATTGGAAAATGTTCAAGTAATAATCAACTTTTGGTGCATAAAATCACACAGATGTCAAATGTGGACCTCAGGGATTAAAAATAAGGGACAAGAAAATAGTGCTTATGAAGTTAACACCTTATTTAGATAGTCCACTTTAGATGCTTGATTTACTTTTAGGTTATATTTAACTATATATCTACTAAATTGACCATAATTTTCTAAACCTGGCTCTAATCCGAACCTGAACCTTAACCTCAAGCCAAAACCCAAACCCCAACCTCACCCTGGTCCTAGCCCTAACCCTGGTCCAAATCCTAACCCCACCACTGTGTAAAATCAACTGAGTTTCAACAGATAGTTTGTTAACAATCTGAACATCCTTAGATAATCTATAGGGGACTATAGTGAACTATCCACATAAAGTGAGACCTTATTTTTAACTGGTCCTGAGTAGGACTTTATAGAACAAAACACTTGACATCTGAATAGCCATTTAGGACAAGTGAAGCTGAATATAGCAGAAATAAAAAATAATAATTCAATATTATTGCGTCATGTACTGCAACACCAAAATTGGCTAAAACAGTCCTGTTTCTGTATAGATTGATGACTACAGCATGGTGCGTTTCCTGCCCTTTGACCGCACAGATGAGGAGGGCATCAGCATTGTTCTACAGCACATTGACTTCTCCATACAGTATGGGGAGGACCTAGAATTCAAGGAGCCAAAGGTAAATATGTTATTTGCTATATCATTTATAACTTAAAGCCTCATCACTTACACAGCTGGAGTCTGGTAGAGCTGTCAGACAGTACCAGTGGTAATGACTCCAGACTGATACACCTGACAGTGTTTTCACATATAGTTCATTTCAAAAGAACCAAACAGTTCTGTCAAAGTGAACCAACTGCAAATGACCTCAGTTCATTTTGCGTTCACAATGTAAGTGAACTATAAAGAGGACTCAGTTTTCTTTCTGGTCCTTTGAGATCTCAGACCACTTTTTGTTCAGACCCCATCTCCATTAAAGCTCTAGAGGAGGCGAGAGGAACCACCAGACCCGCCTGCTGCTCTCCTATTGGCCACGCTGAAGCGATTGGCTGAAGTGCATCACGCAAAATTGGAAAAATGACCCTGTGGGTCTGCCGCGGTGGGTTCCGTTTTCGGCTGTGCTCCTCACTGAGCTCCACCCGGCGAAACTCCGCGTCAGCGGTGAATTTTCATTCATTCAGAGTTCAGTGTGAAAGCAGCTTAAAATTGCATGCGTGCCCAACTTGAGCCTTTAACACAGTAAAATCACCTGGGTTCTCTCATCTTATCGCTTTAATATGTCAGCGCTGCTGTCTTGTCTCAGATCACTCAATCATATCCTGAGTACAACCTTATTAATGATCCTTGGTGGTCTGTTTTTACCTGCTGAAGTGCTGAAGACTGTGGCTGTGTGTACGGCGCAGGGCTGTTTTGTTTTCACAATGTACAAATCAATCGAACCACAAAACGATCTACCGTTTAGAGGGGTCTGAGTTCGTTTGGCATGTTCACTTATGCAACAGAAACCATGACTCAGCGGTCTCAGTCCACTTCAGATGCTGAAACGGCCCAAGTGTGAAAACGTCCTGAGTGAGTCTGTCATGGTCTTCATGAATAATAACACCATAATAATGAAATGGCTGAGTGAGAAATCAAATATACAGGCTTTTCCCCTTTTACCCCGGTGTCGTCGATCAGCCAGGACACGCTTGATGTCTGAGGTTTGCTTTTTTATTCTTGCAGTGGATCTATAAGTCTAATGTAATAGAAGTATAATAGGCTTATGTTACTTGTTAGCTACATATTTTTTGCATTTAACATCATAATCATCAGCCTGAGCTGATTTCATACAGCTTATATTGGGTAACCAGCTAATTTGCGTCAAGCAAATCTACCCATCAGATGTAAAGATGTGCTGATGGATGCAGGAGAACAAAGTTCAACATTTAATAACAGCATAAACAGTAATGATTAATATTCATGAATTTAATAAAGGACCATTTTGATGGTGATTTCACTGTAACTTGTTGCTCAAGTGTATCAGTTTACTTCTTTCCTTCTTCTACAGGAAGTTGAGGAGGAACCTAGCAACACAAATTACGATGAGTTCTTCCAAGACAGAGTGGATCCCTAAACTCCCCAGCCACATTTGTCACCATTGAAATAGAACCTGCCACAAATAAGTCATTTATGAAGAGAACTTAGTTTCTTTGTGTGTGTACGTATTCATTACTGGCTGCTTGATGCTTATTTTATTTTTATCTGTCCTGTCTGTTCTTTTGCTGTTTAGGCATAAGACACAACATTCTTAGAGCTGTATAATAAATATTTTTTCAGTAAAAGCATGTGTGAACTTGTTTACATACTGTAAACTTTGTGTTTTTTTTAAAGATAAAAAGTGTGACTTAAGGGGGAAAATCATTCATTGCTCTGATCATAATAATTTAATCATCAATTTTATTTTCAACTGGGACGTTTTATATTTTATGCTAAATTTGACAAATACATAGAAATTGTGCACTAAAATTTTCAGAAAAATGTCAAAAATGTCATATTTCAGTTTGTTCTCTATAGAGGATGTGTTAACTTATTATCACTTTAAAAAAATCAAAACATGTCATTTGACTGTGTGTATGTTAAACTTTTGTATACAACTCAGATGGTGATGTGAACCAGGAACTGGGGGGTTATGATGTGTACAATGTGGTTATTTTACTCACTTCAAAAGAAAAAAAAACATACCATCAATGAAATTTCATCTAAAATAGTATTTTAGGACAAACTTTTATCTCAAAACTGTTGAAGACAAGGTCTCAGACAGCGTATTTGAAACCATTATCATGCAATAACTTTCTGTGAGGGAGCTTTCGGAAGCTTTAAACATCGCCGACGTCTGGTTCCTATCACCACCGCTGAAAAATTCAGACTCAGTAAGTCTCTCTAGAATTTCACAACCTTAACGATTGAATTATGCAGCAATTCTGAAAAACTGGTGTAGGTCCCCTTTTAATGCCTTATCTTAGAACAAGACTTAAATTTAGAATGGACAGATGTTAAATCTATTTGAATATTATTATTATTTATTGAACATTAATTTATGTAACATTTATATAATGAAATGAAAAGAATTTTTACACATTTAATGTACATAATATAGATTATATATATTAAATCATTTCATGCTACTTTTGAACTGTTTTAAAGCGTAATGATCTGATGACCCCTTGTGGACAGTGAGGGAATTACATCACTTGCTTGTTCCTGTATTGCTGTTGGGTGGGACAGACAGCGGAAGCGGCGTTTTGCAGCGCTGACACTCCACTTTTCCCAGCCTAATTCGACACAAATTTTTACCACAATGCCGGTAAGCAAATGTTTAAACTCGCCTCTTGTGAATAGGTAATATTAGGAAATGTGTCTCGTAAAGTTAGGGCTTTATTTTTGAGCGTAACTGCAGCTAAATTGTCCAGCTGGCTCACTGTTAGCCACACGGCTAGCCACTTTCTCAGACACCCTTCTGGTTGCTGTTGGCTTAAAAAGGCTTATTTAACATTAGTTTATATGTTAAAAGCACCAAGGTTTGTTTTGTTAACCGTACTGGTGAACTATTATTGTGTATAGTGACCTAAACCTAGTAATAGTGAGCTTGGTCAGCTGCATTGATTAAGCTGAGCTTGGCTGCTTTTTTAGAATTTCCCGTTCCACCTTAAATAGTGCCGCGGTTACATTCCAGCGCCTCAGGCCCCGGAATGTAGCCGCTGCACCATTTAAGGTGGAACGGAAATTTCCAAAAAAAAAGCGAACTTCAGCTTCGTTTTCGAGATTATTTATTCCTAAAACTTGACTTGTGCTTTTGTCTTTTCGTGCCTCAGGCTTACCACTCCAGTCTTATGGATGCCGACACCAAGCTGGTGGGGAATATGGCATTACTGCCCCTCAAAACACAGTTTAAAGGACCAGCACCCAAAGAAAGTAAGACGGTTTTTCAGTTTTAGTGCATGTAGAAGTGTGCAGTGTTTTTATATTTAACTTGGATGCGTCATGTGTTCACACCAGAGAGCTCCAGCATTACTTCCTTAAATGGTTGCAAACCTACATCATCTAGACTCATCAGCTTCTGCATGTTCCTGTTTTCTTTTTTCCCCCCAGCCAAAGACCAAGACATCATTGATGAGGCTATCTATTATTTCAAAGCCAATGTGTTCTTCAAGAATTATGAAATTAAGGTAAGGGGATCCTGAGTTATAATAAAACCACTCAGGAAGTGACGGAGAGCTGTACAAAAATGCACTCATGCCTCAACCTGCACTCCTCTATCTGCTGCTTCTGCACTGCTCAGACGCGGAGGCTTCTTAAAGGGGAATTCCACCTGTTTTTCAAAATTTTTGCGTAGTTAAATGGTCAAGATGTAAACAAAGTTATTCAGAGTGGTTTGATGAGAAGTGCTGTGTTCTGGAGAATTAAATTCTGAATAAATGTTGAACTCTCCCCTTGTATTTTAATGTGCGTACTCTTTTGAAATTGCTCTTCCTGAGTTTCTAGTTCTAATTTTAACTTGTTAACTCATGTCTTGTAGAATGAGGCTGATCGAACATTGATCTACGTCACCCTGTACATCTCTGAATGCCTCAAGAAGCTGCAGAAGGTAAGTGAGCATGGCGGTAGTTAATTATAACAATAATAATAATAATAATAACAGTAAACAAATATGTTTACTGTGAAAGTTTGAATAGAACTGAAAATGAAGACAAAGTAACAAATAAAGCGAATAAAAAGTGTTTTTAGTAGTAAAAGTGCAGCATTTGTCAAAATGATTAAAATACTGTAAGTGCAAAATGGAGAGTTCCTTCACTGCTCTTGCAGTGTTTGGTAAACCAGCGCTCAATGATCTTAAAACCCTGTTTGGAGTATAATGAATTAGGAAATCATACATTTCCTTCCTTTGATGTGTTTCTGAATGTTACCATGCATTAGGGAGGGTTTCTGAACTTTCTGAGGGTTTCCTCTTGTGCATCGTAACAATCAAAAATCAGAATATGTGTTAGAGATGGACAAAAGTCATTACTTTTTAATCAAAGATTATGAGAAAACAAAAATTTATTTAATATTTAAGTGAAAATGGTATGATAAATCGTGCTTAATATGACCAGCAAAGTTATAAAGGTCCGCTTTGGCATTTGTAACGGGAGAAACAGCAGCTGATTTAACGAGATCATTGTAGTAATTGTGAAACACGTGTAACATTCTCTAGATCTCTGGATCGGAGATGAAAAGCTGCTGCATTTTAAACAAAGTGTAGTTTTTATTGTGCTTCTGGGCGTTGTAATAGTCTTGATGGGAAAACAAAAGCATGAGTGAGCTTCTTAGCATCTTGCAATATGAATCAAACTTGCGCGCTGTTGTGTTGGTGAGAATAAGCCTTCGTAACATTATCTTACTGCTGGTACTAGTGCTTAGTATTATGTGTAATTCATGAAGACATACAGTCATATGCACAAGTTTCAATGCACCTGGGAACAAGCTTAATCATGGCCTTTTTCTGCAAATTTTAATGAACAATTTCTATTTAGTTGCACACAAATAGATGTTGTAGATAAAGTAAATAGTTTTTATAACTTTTGCACGGGCCACATTATATATTTACCCCTAATATGTTAAATTTGGCAAATAAACAGTCATTGTGCATCCCTCTGTAGAAGATGTGTTAACTTATTTTTTTTATTTAGAACAGGGGTGCACAACTCCAGTCCTGGAGGGCCGGTGTCCAGCACAGTTTGGTGATTTACCTGCTCGCCACACCTGATTCTACTCATCTGTTAATTGCCAAGTTTAGTAGGTGTGTTTGAGTAGGACAACTACCAAACTGTGCTGGACACCAGCCCTGCAGGACTGGAGTTGTGCACCCGTGATTTAGAAAATCAACAAAACACGTCATTTGACTGGGGGTGCCCAAACTTTTGCACATGACTGTATCACAGTAAGTCTCACAGGTTTGGCTTGGCCATGCTTAATGAATATAGTTTACCTCTTCATTTTTAACGTTGTGTGCTATATAATATCAGGTTAGGCCAGATTTACTGATAAGTGTATCAAATGCATCGTTCTTCATGTTCTACAGTGCAGCTCGAGGGGGCAGGGAGAGAAGGAGATGTACACGCTGGGAATAACCAACTTCCCCATCCCAGGAGAGCCTGGATTCCCACTGAATGCCATGTATGTCAAACCCTCCAACAAACAGGAAGAAGGTATGGCACAAAGTGCTGCATTTCCCTCTCTTAACGTCAGTATAATTTCAATTATTACATAAAAATGTTCAAAAATTACCGCATAGGTTTCAGAAATGTTTCTATACATCTATACAACATTTTCTTTCACAGTTAAAGTATTAAAGCCAGAGTTTTAGCAATGTAATGTAATTTATGCTAAAAATGGATACGTTAAAATGGTTATTTATAAATGTCAGTCTGAGGATGTGATGTCATTGTCTTGCATTGTCTATGCTTGTGGTTGTTGAGGGTTAAACTAGATGCACTTTTAATGTCTAACAGAAACATGTGAGAGGTAATTTAGGCGTCTCCGTTTACTTGCATGCATTTCGCAAAAAAACGTTTAAGATTTTTATTTTTTTTTTTTAAATCTGAAACAAGGCATGTTTCATGAGCAAAAACTGGCTGTTCATTGAACCACTTTTGTTTGTTTGTTAAACACTACATAACATTATATAACATTAGAATAAATACAAATCAACATAAATATACTAAGACACAAGATTAAAAAAGGTATGAGTATGTTAGAAGATCACAGGTTTGGTCCTGTCTTCTCGCTGCACTCCATCCATCCCATGGATTTGTTCAGTTCCGGCAGCGGCTCCTGATTTAATTTAATGAAGGAATGATTGGATAAACTAGGTACTGGTAACTGTAAATACTGTTTACATTTGTGTATTGGTTCTAATGTTACATAGTGCTTTTATAAGCAAATTCACACTTGCTGCCCACATAAATTGTTTAAAACAGTATTGGCTTCCCAAGGATTTTTGCACAGTACTGGACAGAACAGCTGTTCTGTCTTCCTGCATAATGGGTTAGTCCTTTGAAACGTGTTCATATCAGTGTCCACTCCCTTTGTGATGTTGACCAAGTGATTGTTGTTTGTCTATGGCAGAGACTATGAGGGCCTACCTGCAGCAGATTCGTCAGGAGACAGGCCTGAGACTGTGTGACCGGGTGTTTGACCCACAGACAGACAAGCCAAGCAAGGTAAGCTGAAGACTATACTGTTAAATATACCAGAATTAAAGAGAGCAGAAGCCTTACAGAAATCTGATTGCAGCAAATAAGAGTGAATATTGCAATAAATATGGGGTGGACGACATACAGGACTTCTGTATGTGAGTAAAAACAGATATAATCTTGGTAAATTATTACTTGAGTAAAAGTACAAGTATTCTACAGGGAGATTCACTCGAAAGAGGCCCCGAATATTTTCTTGTAACTCCCGTTAGGATGAAGCAATCTGAAGCAAAAACAAATACGCTACATACCTTGACGCATGTGTAATCGATTACGTTTTCGGACGGCCTCCGCCATGAGAAGGGATCACTGATCCCGTCGTTTCTAGTTCCGTACCATCTTCTGAGTAACACTTTTTGAGGGTACGTCACGAACACCATATTTCTTCCTAAATTCACTCTGACATCACTTAAACGAATTGATGACCCAATAGATTCGCACCATGAAGACATGCTGCTCAATACTGTACATCTCCATCCTGATGAGAAGTCGAGTGAGTGAGTAAAGGGGTACGGGGGTGTGCACGCAGAAGTTGCAAACGAAGGTTAAACGTCACGACGGCTGTCTGGCACCTACCTCATCGCACTCACGCAGGGGCAGCCAGCTTGTTCGAAGCTCCATATACTGAAGAGCACATTGCACATTGTTTAGTTCAGATTGCTGCGTCCTAGAGAGAGTTATTACAGAATATTCAGGGCCTCTTTCGAGTGAATCTCCCTGTATCTATATTTGTGTGAGTTAAAGTATAAAAGCACTTGCTTGTGAATGTACTTAAGTATCAAAAATCAAAGTACTTATTAATTAAATGAAGTTCTGTTAAGACCTATGACACAAGTTTTTATATGTCTGCAATCACACAGGTCTCTTTAATATTACTTGTTAAAATATACTTTTATTTTTGATACTTAAGTACATTCACGAGAAAGTGTACCCAATTATTTTACCCAATTAGCAAAGCATGAACACCCACCTCGTGAAGGACTTATAAAGTGCTGAATTAAAAAAAAAGTTAAAAAGTAGCATTCAAACTTATAAAATATTTATTAATTTCACAGATTTATCTTAATCTGTGAGCATAATGAAGCGAATTATGTGAATGCTGTCTTGCCTTTTTTTCTACATTTACTGAAGGAGAAATATAGATAGAATACTTTTATTGAGTATCTTTACTCAAGTACATTTTTACAAAGAGTACATCTGCTTTTACTCGCATACAGAACTCGATCCCTGGTAGTATAAATGAATGCCACTGTTTCAGTATAACATTAGGCCCAATCCCATCTCACCCCTAACCCTTTCCACTTAACCCTCTGTTTTGCGCGTTCACGTCTAGAGGTAGGGTGTCCTGATTTTTGTTGAGATAGAGGGGTGGGGCGAAGTGCTAGAGGTTTTTCAGAGACACTCCAAACTGAGTGTTATAAGAAAAAAAGAAAAACCGTCATGATGGCGGCACGAGCGACCAAAGAAATACACAAATATGAGAATTTTCCCAGTTAAAAATTATGATAACCACTGTTTTATCTCAGTTTAATGTTGTTTCAATGTATTATGGATCCTTTTCTTCATAACAAGCATCAAAATCACTAGCAGTTTGCTGATGTCTCGGTAGCTAGCTAGCTAAATTTCCCATTCCACCTTAAATGGTCCAGCAGTTCTGACTCCTGAAGAGCTAGAATTTAACTTTGGCACCATTTAAGGTGGAATGGGAAAATTTGAACAAGAAGCTGGTGAATGTCTGACTTCAGCTTCATATCACTGAAGAATCAGGGGTGGGGGGTGATAAATAATTGCCCCCCCCTTTAGCATATGATTCCCTAAATGTAACTAAAGCCCAGCAGTGAGGAGCTGAACTTTACCCTCCTCTGCTGTCACTGCAGACTGGCAGGGTCGCCTACAGAGCAGCGCTAGTAGCTGTTAATGAAGTAAGGCTCTTTTTATTTGAGGGTCCCATTTCGTAGGGAAGAGTAACTCAGTAACTCAGTTCCAAGGGGCAAGATGACACTTGAAAACAAGGGGTAGGGGTAAAAATAAGAAATGGGACTGGGCCTTAGATGCAGCTCAACACAAGCATGATTGAAAAGATGCTCATATATTAATCACTTAAATGTCTGTTTCTCTTTCCACAGTGGTGGGTGTGCTTTGTAAAGAAACAGTTCATGAACAAGAGTCTGTCTGCACCTGGTCAATAGGCATCGGCTGAGATTTTCTCTTGGTACTTTTACATGGAGCGTGGATGGGATTATTTTTTTCAGCGTTTGTTGTCATTTTCTTTATTTTTTGGCGGGAGGCGGTGCTTCCATTGGATATCTGGTTTAAGATTAATTTTATACCGCAGATTTGCAAAGTCCAACGTATTTGATCCTTTCTGCAGCCATACGTTATGTATGCAAAACTCAAGGTGATCAAATAAAATATTAAAGAAAAAAAGTGTTTTTTAGTTCATGCTTAGAAACAGTTTCCACACATGCTGCTTGGGAAGAGTTTTTTTATTCATCTTTTTGGGCAGAATTTGCAGAAGTGATGACTAGAGTTGTAAATGTTATTTCTAGCTACAAATACCTACTTCAGAAATCTTTACATGATGCACCTGAGGAAAAGTCACATAGTTACACCAAATACATCACTGATAGCCTTACAGCATTTACCGCTGCATGTAGGAATATAGTAGTGAGTGGAAGCATGTTTAGACTGCTACTGCTTTTCACAGGTAAATGCCAGCTCAAAGCTCTCTATGGTCAGTTTATATATCAGGGGTGTAAGGATACACATTTTCATGTTATAAACCTTCTTTTGAATTCTGAGGTCAGGATTTAATCCCATTTTCAACAGTTTGTGTTAAAAAAAAAAGGTTTGTTTGGCTCAAATATGTTCTCAAATCATTTAATTTATTTTTAAATCCTGCTGTGCAGCCATCTAATGAAATAGAGCCCAAGATCACAACCCTACAGAGCCCTGCTGGTGATATCCAATATAAATAAAAATAATAGGTGGCCACACCTTATTAACGCATGGGAACGAGATCCTAATGCATGGCCATGACTTAGGCATGGGAACGAGATCATGCCTTACTAAGTCGTGTCCATGCATTATTTTGATTTATAGGACATCACCAGTGGTGATGGCCATGACTTAGTAAGGCGTGGGAATGAGATCATGCCTTACTAAGTCGTGGCCACGCATTAGGATCTCATTCCCATGCCTTACTAAGTCGTGGCCACGACTTAATCATCTTGTTCCTAAACCTTACAAAGACTTAGCCATGCATTATTTTTATTTATAGGACGTCACCAGCTGTGATGGCCATGACTTAGTAAGGCGTGGGAATGAGATCATGCCTTACTAAGTCGTGGCCACGCATTAGGATCTCATTCCCATGCCTTACTAAGTCGTGGCCACGACTTAATCATCTTGTTCCTAAACCTTACAAAGACTTAGCCATGCATTATTTTTATTTATAGGACGTCACCAGCTGTGATGGCCATGACTTAGTAAGGCGTGGGAATGAAATCATGCCTTATTAAGTCGTGGCCACGCATTAGGATCTCGTTCCCATGCCTTACTAAGCCGTGGCCACGATTTATCTTGTTCCCACACCTGACAAAGACTTAGCCATGCATTATTTTTATTTATAGGACGTCACCAGTGGGGTTTCCTACAACCCATAGAATTTATAAGCACTTCAGAAGAAAAACCCAGTTAATTAAGCGAGTGCATTATTACATAAGCCCTGCTTCATCCCCACCCACTTTTCTCTGATCAGATGCACCCAGAAGCCTAGTTTTGATAGTCGGTACCCATAGAAGACTCAAGGTCCCATGGAAGACGGCAGATGAGAGCCTGCTGGATTTTTCAGCACTGCATTGAAATCATTACACCCTAAATACACAAGTTGTTCAGCAAAGTAAGTTATAATGTGCAACTCCTACATGTAGCACCTTCATTATCGTTGCTTATTGCTCTTCATGAGTTGTATATGTGATCCTGCTAAGCATCAAAACCCTACAGTTGCAAGAGAAAACCACAAATGTTTCTCACATATGCAAACAGGTTACTCAGAACCATATGCACTTACGAAGGTTAATTAAACTAACCTTACTTTTGCATGCATGAAGATACATGAATCCAGAGCATGAATGAGGTGATGGGGGACACATAAGACAAACTTGTAGGTACGTCACACAAACACTGTTTTAATGAGCAATAAAATGAGACAACTTGGGGGAAGAAGGGCAAAAATTTAAAGGGGCGATAAACAAGTAAGCTACAGAAGGCTAGGGCTAGCCTGAGTGAGGAGTATGCTTTAGTCCAGGAGTAGAATGGACTGCCTATAGCCTTGACGCTCAACCACATGAAATTCACAAGGGGAAACCGACACAGAACACATGGTTTGACTGACACGGCTATGGTACATCATATTTACATACACAAAAAAATACTGTTTTTGAGCTTACATCTGATACAAAAAAATATTCTCTGTCTCATGCAAATATCTAACTTTTTGGTTTGTCCAAAAAATGAGGATTCTTGCTCAAAAACAGAATAAACATCCTGACATCACTGAATTCAATTTCCTTCCATATAGGAAAACAAATTAAGGCAGCAGAGAGCACATTGACTCCTTGGTGAGAGACATTTGTGGTACGTTTTTCCCAGGGAGTAGGGTTCTCTATAATTATGCTGGATGGGTTGGTAGGTGGGTGGGTTGGTAGGTGGGTGGGTCAGGGGGATCAGCATTTTACTGTCAACCTCTGTCACCACAAACGAACAGAAAACTCCAGAATTGCATAAGAGACTCGGTTCAAGGTTGATGGCTCAGAGGCAGGTTTAAAAAAAAGAAAAAGGAAAAGGAAAAAAAAGCAAGTCAAAACCAAATGACATGCATTATAATTCAACATAATCCAGACAATAAATAATTCTCTCTCTCTCGCTCTCTCTCTCTCTCATACACAAACAGGGTGAGGAAAACAGACATTTTCATAACATAATTCTATTCTCACACATTCAGAGGAAAATCCTGTTCAAAATGGCTGGGTTTTTGCTTCCATCTCCATATTAGCGGAAAACTGGTGCAACAGTTGATTGCGTAGTGGCAGATGCACATCCCCTGTAGTTTAACCCGGGTGTCTGTGAGAGTGGAGGGAGAAAAATCTTGATTATGATGAATGTGGTACAAAAATGGACAGGTGATTGAGGAGACTGACCGATATTTCAAATCGATAATGGACGATGCATTTACTGTATTCTTACTTGGCCACTGTGCTAAAACGTCTGCATTTTATTCTCTTTACTGCATCTTATTCTCTTTACTGCATTTTTGACCCTCCACGGACAAAACGTTTCATTTCTCTGTATTGCTAGTCAAGGTGGATCTAGTTCCCTCTACAGTTTATTAACGCGATTATATGACCATGGGCAAAAAATCAGTTATCAGTCCAGAATTCCCATATTGTTGCATACTCATAAAATGTCTTTGAAGATCAGGGCTTAGACCAGTCCCTTTTTAGATCAAGCGTGGAGGACTGAGGGCCACAGACAGATTCAGTGAGTGTAATGAGTTAAACCAAGTGTGTCTGAGCTGGAAATGACCAAACTGTGCAGGAAGTCCCCCATGCCTGTTTTAGTTATATGGTTTGGTATATTAACAGCATCGTCATTTTCTCATAAGCTCTGTTTTACAACTTTCCAAGGACTATGATTCACAATGTGGATCCACAGTTTGGGTTCCTGATTTAACATCAGTCCTCCCTGTTCAGCAGGAGTAGACATTATCCATTGCCCAGTATCACTGGCCACAACATTTCTCATTTGGGCCACTAAAAATGCAGAGCCTGTGGCTTGAGAGGCCACTTGCCTTGAAGTTCTTTTTTTTTTGCTTTCTGTTCACCCTTCAACAAATCTGTTTGGTCAGACACAAAACTAATCAGACAAATCAGATTTTGTTGCAATTCAGCAACTGTAGCCACCATGATCATCGGACGGTGTCCCTCATGGAATGGTGTGGTCATTACTGTGGCTCCACCTGCCATCACAGATGCTGCTCGTTTGACTGAAGTTTGCAAAGATTATTCTATAAAAAGGCCTTAAATAAAGTGTTTAATTGGCTGACGTTACACTGAGAGGCCATCACTGCAGTAGCCACGGAGCACCTAATGAAATAACCTAGATCGGATGACGTCACAGTGCACCAACTTTTTAAAATTAATTTAATTTTTTTATTAATTAATGTAAAAAGATTTTACACAATCATTTATTTCTCAAAGCAACACCTGACTGCTGTTTGGTAATGACACATGCCTTTTACTTGGAAACAATGTATATACACTATAAACATGTTTCTACTATCGCCACAACTTCTTAATTGGCTTGATGGCCCAAATGCAAATTTTTTAGATGTCTGCCCCGCTTTCTGGGCTGAATGCACTGTTCAACCAGTTCAAGTGGAATTGGTTTCACTACATGACGTGCAACACAGCTACACAGCTCCAGACTGAGTATCTTTCACAATATAATGAATATCCTTTAAGATATTTTTTGCCAAAACATAACCAACTTTGCCACTTTGAGTCAAACTTTTGCTAACAGATCTGATAGTTTAAAAAAAGGGGAAAAGTGTAAGGAATGAGTGTGTGTGTGTGTTTGTGTGTGTGTGTGTGTTTTAGGACTAAATTTATTACAGACCAAATTTTGGAATGGTATTGTACAGACTGTAAAACTCAACAACTTAGATTCCATTCTACTCAATTTCGCACAAAAAATCCAAATGTATATTCATCAAGACCTATCCTGAAATAAGGTAAAGAGACACGAGATGCTGTTGAGAAAATTACCACTTAAGTGAGTTGCACTGAAGGGAGGCTTTAGTCAAATGCCATCTCCTGACTCTTCCTCACGCAGCGGGCAACCTTCCTCTTGAATTCACCATTGGGATCCTCTCTCCACTCTTTCTGTACAATAAACACAAACATGCATGTAAACTAAACGAGAGACAACAGAGCCAGAAAAAATAATGTGAGCATTTATTTTAAGGGTGATTCCAGTGAATTTCCGCATTACTTGTTTATTATTCAAAGTAAATAAATGTTGCTTAGTGTGTTCTGCCAGAAAAATGGTCCGTGCGTTAGAAAACTAAATCTATTTACAGTTACAAACAGAAACCAGGGGTCACAGTCAACAATGCAATGTTAGTCAACCAACCAGTGAAGCCACACATAGCTTCTGAGGACATATGTATAATGTTGATAATTGCTAAAATGATGGTAAATCTGTAAAAATCCTAAAGTTTTCTTTGGATACTAAAAGGTATGTGCAGAATGACACTGCCACCATTTTATTAACAAACGTTGAAAGTCAGAAGACGCATGCTGCCTCACTGATTGTGTGGATAACATGCAAAATGGCTACCTTTGTATTACAGATGTCATAAGCCTTAGTTCTTGTCTTGAAAACTGTAACAAATCCATGTTGGTAAATTTCTCCTGAACAGACAATTTTTCTTTGAAACACTCTACATGGCTGTTTCACTCTGAGATGTAATTATGCTGAATCTTTAATAATAATAATAACAAATAATAATAATAATAATAATAATAATAATAATTTCAACTTACATAGCGCCTTTCACAAACCCAAGGACGCTTTATATAGTGTCAAAAAAAAATTCTAGAACACTAAAGAGAAGAAAAAGGGAAGGTTTTTAGCAGAGATTTGAAGGAAGACAAAGAGTGGAAGGTAGAGAATTCCAGAGTTTGGGGGCAGCAGCACTGAAACATCTGCCACCCATGGTAGAAAGTCTATTTGAGGGAACTGTGAGACGTCCAGAATTAGAAGATCGGAGAGCATGAGAGGGACAATATAATGAAACGAGAGCAGAAAGGTGTGTCGAAGCCAGACCATGTAAAGCTTGAAGGTAAAAAGAAGGATTTTGTATTTAAACCTAGAACTAATAGGATGTCAATGCAACTGTCGAAGAACAGGAGTAATATGAGCTGTGCGCTTGGTGAAGCTAAGAACCCTGGCTGCTGAGTTTTGGACGTCCTGAAGACAATTGATTAGTTTAGCTGAAAGGCCATAGAAAAGTGAGTTACAGTAATCGATGCGAGAGAAGATGAAAGCATTAATCACTATTTTAGCGCCAGTGTTACTCAGCATAGGGCATAAGTGTGCAATGTTACGCAGATGGTAAAATGCAGTTCTGGTAACTCAGAAGTGAGATATGAATCAAGAAGACAGCCAAGGTTCTTAACAAATGGGGCTGTCTTAATATCGACACCATCAATGCTGACTGAAAAATTCAATACCCGGGAAAGTGAGGTTTTAGCTCCAACTAACAGAACCTCAGTTTTATCAGCGTTTAGTTTCAGGTAATTGTTTTCCAACCAGAGTTGTAAGAACTGAAAGCCTGGGTGGAGGCAGAGAGGTAAGTAGTGCTGATATAAATCTGAATGTCATCAGCATAGCAGTGAAAGTTAAAACCATGTAGGATCCCATATAGGATATTGGAGGATAGAAAGTCATGCAGCTGAGAGGCCACAACTCTTTCCATGACTTCAGCTAAGAAAGGGAGATTGGAGATTGGTCTGTAGTTGGCCAGTGAGGATGGGTCCAACCCAGGTTTCTTTAGGATAGGAGTGACAGCAGCTGTTTTGAGAGATGGAGGAACAGTGCCTAATGAAAAGCATAGATTGATCATATGAGCTATAAGAGATGAAATAACAGAGGAAGCGGACTTTAGAGTAGCTGTAGGAGCAGGATCTAGTTGAGATGTACAGGAAGAGGATTTGGAAATAATCTCAGACACAGTGGAAGAGTTCACAGGGGAGAAAACAGAGAGACAACTGGGCATGCAGCTCAATTTGATAGCTGGACTTACAGCTGCATCCACGTTGGCAGGTGAGTCGCTGTTTGGGTCAGCCAGCATGGAAATGACGCTGATCATGATTGTCTCAACAGTGTGGATCGGCAGCCAGCGCTCTTCAGGTTTCTCATAACCAAACCTGTCCTCTCCTGGTTCGTGTAAGATGGAGATGCACACATCTCCATTCTTTGCAACTGAGGACACAAGAGTAAAAAAGGTCAGATACCAGCAACTAGTGCCACAATCAGAGGATCCCAGCATGTCTGAACTTGTCTGTCTGAACATCTTAACTGCTCTGGCCATGATGGCACCAGCCAACAATAACAAAGCCTTGACGAAGCTACACACATTGGCAGGCCTATTTACACGTAGCCAATTCACGCATCTCGCCTGATCAGATAGCTATACGATCAGGAGGGGGGACAAGTATAAATGCAACATTGGAGACTGTTTGCTATCCCAAACTGAACTATGTTAGTGGAAATGTATGTAAACCAGGGGTGCACAACTCCGGTCCTGGAGGGCCGGTGTCCAGCACAGTTTGGTGGTTTACCTGCTCCAACACACCTGATTACACTCAGATTACAATCTGTTAATTGCCTAGTTAAGTAGGTGTGTTTGAGTAGGGGAACCTCCAAACTGTGCTGGACACCGGCCCTCCAGGACCGGATCTGTGCACCCCTGATGTAAACACTGTAGGACGTTTGAAAATATTCTGTCCGACCCCCAGTCCATACAAAAAAAAGGCCCACTTCATGTTTTTGTGATGTCACGAAAACCAATGAATTACCATATATCCACCTATTCACTCTGCAGCAGTTTAGCTCATTCAGGCATAAGTTATAAGAAATGTTTCAGCCCGGACCGCTTTTTAGACAAGGCAGCCAATCAGAACAGAGCTCATTTACATATAGGCTAAAAAAGGTACAAGAATAACAACAGTCTGGTTAATTTTAAGGGGAAATGAGAGGTTGGAAAATGGTCATGTATTATTATTATTATTGTTATTATTTAGTTTACATAAACCCACACAAATATCAGAAGTGAGCCTCAAGAGAAAAATAAAGGGCAAGAAAAATGTAGCATATAAGCCCTTTACTAGCGTTTAGCATTACAGGTATAAAATTACTTCACTGCACATTTACATATAAATGCATAAACACCTGAGTGTATATAAAATCAGCCATATATGTCTGTGGCCCATTTAAATCAGTGATCCTAAACTGCCTTTTCACTATAACAGTCCATTTAACATTGGGTACAGTGGAAAAAAACTTGAGGGAAATCAAAACTACTGCAGACATGAACCTGAAACTAAATAAATACATAACATTGACAGTTCTGCATCAAGTTATTTGCACTTACCATTGGGGTGCCAAATTTCAGTAATAAATTTCATCTTTGGGGGTCGAAGAGGGTAATCATGAGGAAAGGTGAGGTTTGCTTTAAAAAATCCACCCTCACTATGAAAGTAAACACAAGATTCAGTTATTATTAAAACACCTTAATTAGAACAATTATTTGTGCAGTGATCATAAAATTATGTAATTGTAAAATTAAAATTAAATTTCCAACAATGTTTTCTTCCCATGATCCTGACCTTAAAGAGAAATTCTGCTAATTATTCAAAATTTCTGCATAGTTCAATCACTGAGATGTAAACAAAGTCATTCAGAGTGGTTTGGTGTGAAATGGTTCACTGTAGAGAAACTTAATGACTGATTCCTTTACAGTGGTGGTGATAGGAACCAGGGGTCACCATATCTACAACAGATATAGACATTTATTACAAAATACAAAAATGCTGTTAACTTTTGGCCAGGTTACTTACAAAAGCGTGTCAGCTGGCCCTATAACGACGACTTCCCACTGATAGATGTCATCATCATCAATCAGACCGGCAGAAAAGCCCTCAACGGGGTTTTTGTTGAGCTCTATGACAAAAAAATGTTTTTTGTTTTTACTAGCAACATAAAGGAAGTTGCCCAAAACACTCAAGTACAACCAATCAAGACACTCATAAGACTGACTGCACAACTGGCTTGGTACTCCTGGCTCCTGTGTTTCAAAAAGAGTAAACGAACATACCATAATAATAGTAATAATAATAATAAATCTTTATTTATAGAGCACCTTTTATACCCCTGACAGCTCAAAGTGCTTTACAGACAGATGATAAAGAAACTACGAGTAATAATTTAAAGTGATTAAAGGCAGACAGATCAAACTGAAAAGAATACACAATAAAAAAGATCTTCAAGGGTTCTTTAGTAGAGAAAATGGTTATATATAAACCCATGAACACTCAAAACATCTGCACGCTTGAAGGATTCTTTGCATCGTGAAATGGTTCTTCTTGACTTTCTGATGCTATATATAAGACCCTTTCTAAAAAGGCTCTATATGGAACCATATACAACACTCTTTATCAATTTGGAGAACCACTTCACAATGCAAAGAACCATTTAAGCATGGAAATGGTTCTTTTAGTGTTCAAGATTCTATATAGAACCACTGTCTTTACTAAACATCCCCCTGAAAACCCATTTTTTAAGAGCGTACCATCAACAACGTCTACCACTGTTTATCAACATAAAATTAAGGAAGTATTTATATATTATATTCAATGGATTCTCGCTTTGTATTTCAGATATTTGTGTTTTTAGGACACCAGGCCTGGACGCAACACGTGTGCTCGAACCCAATGGCGTCCACAGCTGATGAAGACGAAGCTGGCTTCCTATTCGCCAGCTTCTTGCTCGGATTTTGCCGTGCCACCTTAAATGCTGCAGCAGAATGTAACCGCTGCACCATTTAAGGTGGAACGGGAAAACTTCGCTGATCCAAAGGAGCCAACGGAAAGCATGTCAAACTGTTTTGGTGCGTTCAACGTTACCAGTCCAAACAAACTCCCTCTACCGAGTCCACAGGAATAAAGAATCGTCAACTTGGTAGCAGCGGTTCATCACACAGCTGTCAAAGCCTCGATCACCTTCAGATCGTGTACATACGTGTAAATAAATCGGGATAAAAATAAATAAAGCGATATTTCCAACGTCAACAAAGCCTCGCTTAGCCAGCTAACAGCCCGCTGACCTATTTAACAGTTAGCTCTTTAGCCAAGTTACCCACCTCGCAGCCTAAACTATCTATCTAATGTATTCGCTGTGGACAGTTCTGCTCAAGTTGGTCTACTAAGACCACTCAAAAGTAAACCTAAACGCTAACAGTGATTTTCTTTGAAATATGACCGTTAATACGCGCTTTTACGCCGTTTGCCAGTTCCGGCTAAGCTAGCGTTAGTTGCTACCCTAGCTTGAAAGACAGCCCAAATAAGTACAATTAACGTGTAAATATCTATATTACCCGCTAGTTGTTTTCTAAGAAGAAGTGATGACTGCTCTGTCATGTTATTTAGCCAATTACAGCAGATAATAATCTCTAAAAACTCAAAAGGATCAGATGTAACGGCTCAGAACAGTTAATCTCCGTGCTACTCTCTTAGCCTTTCCGCTGGCTGGAAACGCCGCCTTGCGCGCATGCGCAGTCCTCTCCATCGCCGACTTTTTTATTTATTCATGACTTTGCTTAAATTATTTGCCTAAAGAAAAAGAGTGAACACTTGGTTTTACGCTATGACGCAAAAAAGTGTAGAAATTAAAATGCAGAACACGTATGAACTGTAATTTATTATTATTATTGTTATTATTATTATTATTATTGTTGTTATTATTATTAAGCGTGGCATTTTAGTTTCGACACTAATAATTAGATCAGGGTCCAGATGGATTAAAAATGTATACAGCATTATTATCGTTAGACACATTCCTAAAGTAATGCAATGAAGTGTGTTGATTTAGTCGAGTGTTTATCAAATAACATGCTGTTTTATTGTATTATATATATATATATATATATATATATATATATATATATATATATATGTTCTAAAGATTATTTTAAATGCTGATGCATTCAATTTTGTTTCTTTTTATCATTTTTTATTCATGTTATTTCATTTTCATTTTATTCATTCATTCATTTTATTTCATTTTGTTTCTTTTTATAATTTTTTATCCATTTTATTTCATTTTTTCCAAAAGTGTTGTCACTACTGGTCAAATTACACGTTTTGTTGATTTTCATAGGTTTTAATGCACAATTGCAATGCACCAGTGCAAAATTTTAATGCACAATTACGGTTTATTTGCTGAATTTGACTTGTTGGAAAAAATAAAACATAAGATGTGGCTTATGGCAAATTTTATATATTATGTTTTTTTCCCAATGTGTTAAACTCAGCATGTAAATAAAATTGTGCACTAAAACTTGCAGATAAATGACATATTTTATTTCTACCCTGTAGAGGATGTTATAGCTTATTTTCACTTCGAAAAGCAACAAAACATATAATTTGACCAGGGATATTAAACTTTTGAGAACAACTGTAATTTCAGCTTTATGGTCTCATAGGACTACTGATTTGTAACAAACCAGTGAATGAAACTATGACAATTATATGTAGTCAAAAACAGGTACTGTTGGATGATGATCCATGATGATGCCATCACTATAATGCCAAGTAAAAGTTAAGAGAGTCAAAATATGAACTGCCACATTCAAGATAACATTGCTGCGAACTGAATTGGCATCAGTAGACTGGAAACCTCAACAAAACACCCAAACAAACCAGCAAGCTTTGTCAAAAGTGCTAGTTAAGTTGCTTTGGCAGTGGTAGGATAAAGTCCAGCAAGTCTAAGAAGCTGTTGTTGGTATATAATAGTGTTGAAGTGTTGCTCTTATGCACCATCATTTCAGTCCACAAGAGTGGTAGCTTGCTATTAGCATGAATGTAGCAATGTCATCCCCTCTGTCCTCTGTTGAATCACTCACTAAAGACTTTCAAATTGCCTCTGGGAGCAACATCAGCAAAAGAACTGCACATCAGGACTTTCACGAAATGGGTTTTCATAGCCGATCAGCTACACACAAGCCTAAGATCAAAATGCACAATGTCAAGCATGGGGTTGTGGTGTACAGCACACCGCCACTGAACTCTGGAGCAGTGGAAACATTCTGTGAAGTGACAAACACGCTTCTCTATCTGTCAGTCTGATGGATGGGTTTGGCGAATGCCAGGAGAACGTTACCTGCCTGACTGTGTTAATGGTAAAGTTTGGTGGAGGAGGGATAATGATATGGGGTTATCAGGGGTTGGCCTAGAACCCTTAGTTCCAGTGAAGGGAAATCTTAATGCTTCAGCACCAAGATGTTTTGGACAATTCTACACTTCCAACTTTGTGGGAACAGTTTGGGGAAGAACCTTTTCTGTTCCAGCATGACTGAGCCCCAGTGCACAAAGCAGCTCCATAAAGGCCTGGCTGGGTGAGTTTGGTGTGGAAGAACTTGACTGGCCCTCACAGAGCCCTGACCTCAACCCCATCGGGATGAACTAGAATCGAGATTGCGAGCCAGGCCCTCTCGTCCAACATCAGTGTCTGACCTCACAAATGCTCTTCTGGGTGAATGGGCAAAAAATCCCACAGACTCTCTCCAAAATCTTGTAGAAAGCTTCCCCGAAGAGTGGAAGCTGTTAGAGCTGCAAAGGGGGACCAACTCCATATTAATGCCATTAATAATGGATTTAGAATAGGATGTCATAAAAGCTCCTGTAGGTGTAATGTATAGGTGTCCCAGAACTTATGTCCATATAGTATATGTAGTACTATTTGTATTAGACAGCCCTGAAGAAAAAAGACCGTTAGAAACCATTATGATTAAAACCCAGTGGTTTTGCTTCCTAATTGGAATTGGCTTCCAATGGAGACCACTAATTTCCTATAGAACACCTTTAGATTGCATTAGGAAACCATCAACTGCATTTAGAATCAGATATCGGTCACCTGTTAAAGCATTAGGATCCTGTACATTGTGATATCGACCCATCAAAAAGCCAAAACACATTACAAAACCATCAGGAGCCAACAGAAACACTTAATGATTTCTATGTTTTTCAGCAGGTAGCTAATTGACCTAGTAATTCAGAGGATCCAGTGACAAAAAAATGTTTACCACAACAGTGACTGTCAAAAAAGTGCCATTATTCGTTCCCATAGAGAAATAAAACTGCTCGGACTGCTTAGAGATCCTAATATGGGCATGTCATTGGCTACAGAATGACTTACAACTTGAGAGTCCTACTGGAATCAGGATACTAGCCTTGAGCCATGTTTCAGTACTCTTTTTAATATGCACTTGCCCAATTGGACTCACTATTCAAATGTTTGTCACACCTACGTTACACAAGTGACCACTCAAAGCAGAAGTGCGCTAATCGGATAGCCACGCAAACTTGGCAGTGCACGTTTGAAAGCACATAAAATGTTTGCATATTTGCCTTGTCTTCTTTTTGTTGTTGTTAGCAGGGGTAGTCATGGGCTGGAGGTTAGGGAACCAGCCTTGTGACCGGAAGGTCGCTGGTGCAATCCCCTTGGCTGACAGTATGCGGCCGACAGTACATGATTGAAGTGCCCTTGAGCAAGGCACCTATCCCCCAACTGCTCCCCACACAGCTTGGATAGGGCTGCCCTCCGCTACGGGCAAGTGTGTTCACTGCCCCCTAGTGTGTGTGTTCACTAGTGTACATGTATGTGGGTGTTTCACTGCATGGATGGGTTAAATGCGGAGGTCTGATTCCTCTGTTTGCAAACACAGTTGGCTAAAGGTTCTGAATTCATTCAATTAATGTAGTGATCAGCATGCTAACTTGCAAACTAGCAGAGTAAAGTGAAGTTGTAACAGATGCAACTTTAAGCCCAGCAAATTGAACATTATTGTTTTGAAATTTTAGGCAGGTTACTGCTATGGCTCATAAACAGCTTTGTTTGCTTTTGTTTTGGGTTTGAAAATTGAGAAATGTGTTGAGTCGCAATGATTTCTGTTGCCGAAGTCGACACTTGTGTTCACTCGGCCCCTCACCACTCCAATGGTTTATCTAGCACACTTCACTTGAGATAATAAAGTAATGGAATGGCCCTTAATATGGCATCAGGGACTCCCCTCAGGGCAGCCAAGTGGACAATTGCATCTTAGGGCAGGTAGCTGATGTTATCAGATCAAAATAAAATGGTATTGACCAGAGCCGGTTTAAGAGGAGCCTGGCCACTTCCTATTTCCCCCGTTATATCAAAAAACAGGACAGCTAAACAGCAGAGGGCGCCCGCGAGGGAGTCAATGAATGGGAGTGAATGGAGCTCAACGGCTAAAAACGAACAGTTAAAATAGTTTCTAATCACTGAACCAGAACTTTCCTTTAATTTTAGAAAGTAGAAGGATGTATTTCACTAAAAAAACAAAGAAATCTCACCTATATGTTTCCTTTTTTCTACAGCAAATGGGTTATGGGCAGCAGAAAGTGGGCATTACTGCTACTCAGTGCTGATTGGTTGGCGAGCGGAGCAGCTCATTGGATGTTTGCGCTCACAGACGTCATGAACGTTCATGAGGCGCCATTTTAAACTCCTATAACTCAAGTTTAAAAGCTCTTAAAAATATAACAGCAGTGCTAAAGTGTTTAATGCTGTCTGTGTTCAGGACATGATTGCGTTCTTTTACATTAAACATGTTTAAGCATTTATAAACTATGATTTTGCTCAAATGCTCCATCTTAACCCATTCATTTTGGACTCGCTCAGGAGCGCCCTCTAGTGTTTGAGAAACCCGGAAGACATTGCAGAGTGGTAATTCTCATCTCTACAAGTTCTCTGGAATTGACCATCCTTAGTGAGAACTGGATGTGATAGTAATGAAAAGCCACTAGATGGTGCACAACTTACATGTTGGGTTCCAGGCCTGCTTGAACCTGAACCATGTCAAGGTTCGCCCTGAGTGTGCTGGGTGGCAACCTCAGTTGGAGACTTTTGCAATATGCAGTAATGCTAATTTGAGCTGTATCACTGTGTGTTCTGCAGTGGAGGTATTTAGCTGTGTTTCGCTCAAAGGTGAGCAGCAGCGCTCTCAAACATGTCCGCATAAGCCTACACATTGGCTGTCTGTCCTATTTTCTATCTTGAGAGCTTTATTATCTGCATGACATGCCAGATTCTTACATTTGCTTTTTTACAGGACCATATAAGGCAAACACGTGGCTCTGTGCCCAGAGGCTGATACCAAACATAGCCTTAATATGGGAAAGGGTTGGTAGCGGTCACATTCCTCATCCACGAAGCCCAAACATTAGGATGGTTTTTCTGGATGAAGCAGCAAGACTCAGGTGACAAAGTGAGGGCTCGGTGGGTCTGGTTTTGGAGGTTTTTATGTTTTTTTTTATCCAGAAAATGTCACTTTGTGAATGATGAGGCTGCACCGTTTGCCAAGAAGCTAATAGCTTTGAATATGCAGTTATTTATGGAGAGACAGTGCACAGTGGCAGGACGCATTAGAAGACTTCTCAGTAATGTAAACAGACCTTTAAACCTTTAAACTTTTTCGGTGTAGGCAGACCGAGACTGAAGGGACAACATT